AGATCACAGCTGCCTTTATTTTACTGCCTTTGGGTAAACAAAATCTTCAATTTCCAGGTCCGATGTTTTTATTTCCTTTAACTTTCATAGTCCCTTCATTCCTTTGTAACTGAGTTGACCATGTGTGATCGAGAGTGGGGTTTACCAGCAGCAGTCCAAGAATGCTTTTTTTAATGTCCAAAATATGTTCATGTGCTGACTCTCGTTACCAGATATGCATGATTAAGATTGTTGCAGGGCAAACATAATCATTTTTATAACACGAATATGGGATGTATTTTGTCTGCCTTTGTGAAATATCAATGGCAGTGGACCCCTGCTAATGATAGTTTTGTTTGGCTTCTAAGACACAGTGCTGGTTGTTTAAAATCTCTTTAAAAGATAGGGACATTTTAGTCTGCATGTGCAGTACACAGAGCATCTTACTATGTAAGACTTGTTTTATTTCAGACCACCCTTTCAGATTTCACTGTCCTGTGAATAGTTCTTCTCATGCTCTGAAGACCAGTCCATATATTGTCACTGATTTTTCTGCTCCCAGAAAGAATAAAATCTGTTCTTCATGGCAAATTATTGTAAGGCTTCAGATGTTGATTGATTACAATCATAATTACAGTGTGTGAACTAACTCGTGAAGTCCTGCTATTGCTGATCTCAGTACTGCATAACAAATTTAGCTGTCATTTACAACATCACTTTAACCTTCACCATCAGCTTTACATTAATAGGAAAAACAACTGCAAATACAATTGTGAAACACAGTTAATAACAGATCTCTTCTGCGCCCTGTCATCCGTGGTTAAATTTTGAGTTAAGAGAAAAGGTAAACTGAGTTTCTAGTTTGGTTATGCAAGCAAAAGAAAGGAAACACTTAAGTACCATCAGACTGAGCAATAAAGAAGGATCGTTCCAGTTCCGTATTAGAAATTGTACTGTAGATAAATCATTCATGAGAATGTATAAAATGTTTGTCTTGTGACCTTGTGCTTTTGAAGTCAGACAAAACCATGTAATCAATTTGATGCACATGCACAAAAAAGAGGGTACACAATGAACATTTAAACACAAAACTAATCAAACAGGAGCAGATTCCTCATGGTGCTTGTTTATTATATATATTTAATCCTGCTTGACACTTTACCCAAGGGAAGACTGTCCCTTTTATCAGTTGAATGTTAGCAGCGTTATTTCATAGAGTGTGGTGACTGGTTAGAGAAATTCATGTAACTCAGCCAATCACAGTTTAACAAAAATTTTTATGTGCAAAGGACAGCAACCTTCTTGTATGTTAAACCACCAGTACGCTTTGTACATCTGTGATAACGCCTGTTTTATATTCAAATGAACAAATAAAAGCTTTTATTTTTGTTGCTCTGAAAATATCAGTTTCTTAATTAGTCATCTAAATATGAGTTTTCTGGAGCCACATGGGTTCTATGGAAGAATATAGCTATATTGTAATTTTATTTTGTTTACTTCTCTTGTTGCATAATTTATTAGTAAGATCATTATACTTTTAACAATGTTTAAATACTGGTGTTAGCATTTATTGCAAAAAGACTTTCATATGGCGACAAATGTTTTATGTGAAATGTTTTTTAATTCTTTTTAATATATTTAAATATACTGTTCACATTTTTGCTGAAAGTGTAAAGATTATTGTAAGCTTGGTAACATTTTGTGAGAAGCAATAACAAGCATTAGTACTGTAAAACTCCTCAAGTTTGTCACATCACTTTTATTGCAAGGAATTGCTACCAGCATATTTCAAATACATTATTCCTCTAGGTATGTTAAAACATTTTTTTGCTCTCTCAGATAGTGTGAAAATATATTACACATATAGTACATGGGTAACTGGTATACATCAAATATATAAGTACTAGACCTAAATAGCTCACAAAAAAATTTGGATTCTCTCACTATAGCGTTGAAAACAACGTCACTATTATTTCAGTTGGTCTGCTCCAAAAATTCAGTGGTTTGGAAGCATCTCTACTCATGGCTAATAGTTTCTGGCTTTTGGAAACCAGTTACAAGTTCCTGTATTCAGACTAGAACCTTCTAAGTTACTCGTCTATTCCTTATCTTCAAGAATTTGGATGGATGAAACATTTCAGTCAGCATTTCTTTAGAGCCTAAGTGAAAAGTTGTGAGAGTTGAATCCAGCTATTAATGGTTAGGTGTTTATGAATGGGTAACCTGGAAGCATTTTAATAGGCAGGTGTGGCCATTCATAGGAGTGAGTTCCTTCAGTTTAATGCTGAGGCGAAGTTGGGGGACTTGCACTGGGTTGGGAAATTGTGATATAGAAATTTGCACTGTCACTAGCCATACTGTATCTGTTATATTAAGTGCTTCATTTTCCAAAGTGTGTCCATCCACTACATTCTCAGGATTAGCACATCAGCACCACTTCTCAGAAGGACAGCCTCATGCATTGCAGAGTCTTATTTATGCCAGGATCTCGTGGACAGCAGTTTTCCAGTCTTGGCCAGAATACTCTTGTCAGTTCATTTCCATGCATTTTTTGTGGCACTCGCCCTTGTATTTTAATGTTTCAATACTATCAACCCCCTTCACTACAGTACAATGCAGTGAATGGCATTACCTTAAAAAGGTCACAAGAACAGCAGCTACATCTCCTCTGTATTCTAAGTTGTCAAGATTTATTGAAAGCTGCCGTTCTATTGTGTAATGCAGTGTTTCTTAAACTGTGTTCCACGGAACACCGGTGTTGCGCAAGGCAGTTGGAGGTGTGTTGCAGAGAACAATAGAGTTCAAAATAGCCGCCCTTTAATGATCAATAACTCCCCCCCCCCCTTCTTTTTTTCCTCAATAACTTTCCCCTAACTTTTTTTTTTTTCCTCAACAAATCTGTGGTGTTCCTCATTAAAAATTGTTTGGTGTTCCTCGGTCTTAAAAAGTTTAAGAAACACTGGTGTAATAGGTTTTTATACAGTCAAAGAAAAAGTCCTTGTCCCGGGTACTTTACAGTACAAATAAAAAACAAAACTCTTACGAAGCATAATACACTCTTACCAGATAATAATCTAAATCCAAAGGCAGAAAGTTACTTTCTTTGATTTTGTGCTTTAGTGAATTTGCAGGGAAAGGCTTTATGGAAAGTAGTGTGGTGGGAGGAATTCTAAGTGTAAGTGGCAGCATGGGAAAAGGTTCAAAGATGTCCGGGAGGAAGAAAAGTGAAGAGGGTTGTACAGACAAAGAGCAAAATGCTCCTGTATGGTTTTGATTGTCAGAAATTGGTGCCTCTCTGAAGTTGAGAGGAAGCCAAAAGAAGGGCTTGAAGAAAGGAATGACAATGCTGAAGAGACAAGAGGAAGATGATATTTAGCAGAAATATTTTGTATATGTAGGTTTGCCAGAATGTAATTATTTTTATAATATTGACAGAAAATAATGGTGTTTATCTTTAATCATTTTTTCTAGTTTTAATCTATTTAAATTCTCATTTGGGGAAATCGGGGAAGTCGTATAAATATTAATTGGCAGTAGATGTTAATATTCAGAAAGTTAAAGCTTTGTGTAACCATTAAAGCACAGATTTTCAACATCCCGTAGCAAAATATGCAAAGTAAATCTCCTTAAACTCTTAACATTGGTCTTTCTTTGCCTATCTGTAAATGTTTATTATTAATGGGGAAAAACACTTTTGATAGGTGTTGGTGTGCACAGTGAAATGGACATTTATTGATACTCCTGGGTGAATTCTGCACCACTGTGCATGTGTAAAATTCACATCCCCCCACAGATTTTTTTTCTCTGTTGTGCAGAAAATTGTTTGACAGATTAGCACTGCAGATTAGCACCTTTTGCCCTATAGGGCTGCTGTGGCACTAGAAGACAGGGCAGCTGGCTCCCAACCTGGAACAGCCATCCATGGAGAGGGCAGGGTGGAGGTGCCACAGGCTTCATTCCTCACCGTGATTTGCCTTTGGACCCAGTAAGGAAGTGTAGAATATGGGGGAGTGGGGAGATGTGCCTACAGAGTGCAGCATGTGGAGTTGCTGGAGGGTCACATAGACTGGCGTTCAGAAAGGCCAGTGGGAGGAACAGATGGGCTGGTGTAGGGGAGCTACTCGGTGCCAGGTTTGAGACCCATCTGAATGGGACATGGATACCTGGGAATGTGGAAGGGGTCACATGGGGACAGGACAGATATGTCTGTCTGAACTGGAGAGGCTAGTGGTCAGCCAGGATCTGCATGGGGGGAAGACTCCCTAACAATCCCTCCCCCCCAAAAAAAGAATCTCTACCATACTTCTCCCACCTTACTCCTAACAGCTCTGCAAGTTCACTCCCATTCTCCTTCCCATCAATTACTCCCTTCTCTCTCTCTGTTACTCTTGACTCCCCTGGTCTTGCACTGCTTATGAGGGGTGTGGGAAATAGTTTCTGTATTATAGTTTGAATTAATTATTATTCAAAGTTCTGTATTAATAGCCCTACTATTTGTCAAAAAACATTTTCTGAATCTTTTTTGTGTCTGTATTGTTACAGACATGGTTGTTGACAGATATTTTGAAATAAATTACCAAAATAATTGAAACTGGTGTGATTACATTGTGTTATTTTGACAAATAAGCTATGCAGAATTTTGCAGAATTTTAAAATATGTGCAGAATTTTTCATCTGGGACAGAATTCCCCCAGGAGGAATAGTGATAAAATACCTTCTCTTTCAAATCTGTGCATAGAGTAGTAAGGAGAAAGATAAGGCAAAGACAAGAAAGATGCAACAGAGAAGGTGAAAGCCATAGGAAAAAATAAAATGTTCATACCTAGGTACCTAAGTTTATGCACTTATATTTGTGTTTAGCCATCTAAAAAACAAGTGTCCTTCACACTTGAATTTGGGGTGGTCACTTGCTCAGAAAAGAGGGACAATTGTTTTGGTACCTAAATAAAGGTTTAGGCATTTACATTTAGGCACTTGAGATTGACTTTGGCCAAGAGATTTTGCA